ATTTCAATAACAATAAAACAACGGAACAGCACTTGGCTCACGTGACAATCGTTTAATAGTTATAATATATTAATCATGCATTAATTTTTGAACTTAATACGAGAACGAGAACTCATTGCCAAAACGTTTATGAATATTACTAAGTCGTACTTGTTGGTTACTCAATGATGTATTTTCAATGATTTTAAAAGTCTCTTTCGTATTATATTTTAACTCAACAGAAAATAATAAAAATATATTTAAAATGAAATAAATTTAATTATATTTTTCCTTTTTACATATACAAACATATATTTGAAAATACGTTTATCATTAGTGTTTATAATAAATTGAAGAATAATACATGTTAAACAACAGGAATGTTTACCGAAGCTCAAAAGATGCATTGTGGAAAAATTATTCCGCTAGCAGGCAATTTATTTTCCTTTCTGCTCAGGGAAGAAAAATATACTTGAAAAGGAGTTCTTTTAGCAGAGTTTTCAACGCATCGTAGATAAGGGAACTTCATTCTTAATTTTTAAATTAAAATCCAGGCAAACTACATCCTCTGCACAGTTCTGCAAATTTCTCCCAAAGAAGTTCAAATTATACGACTTTCAATTACCTACTACTTGATTCCAGCTTACACTTCTGGTACAGTCACTGTTATATACTTTTCTTGAAAACAGAACCGGTTTTACGCCGACGAATCTGTAGGGTTTATCTACTCTTAATCTCGGTTATATTTCTGTCTCCTTTGACACGCCCTGCTTTGTTTCCATGAAAAATACGATTTTTCACCACGTAGTGCACACTTTTCCCACGATGATTCATTATTTTATCACTTTAGTGTGTTATATTTTCATTTACCATTACATCTCATTTTCTCCAACATTACTTTATGAATATTATAGTATTCTTAACTCTTGAATCTCTAAATAAGACAACAGAACGTACAATTTTATAACAAAAAGTAGGAATTTTTTTTTGCAATTTTATTCCTTTTGATGATGCCAAAATATGTTTTAAATACTTAATACAGTATCACTTACTAAACCAACTGTTGCGCATTTTGTATCCCGGTTCTATTTTATTTTTTCGAATCTATTTCTCCAAGTCTTCTATTCTGAATCCTCTCAAAATTTCTTTAAAACTGGCCAGCCATGCCAGTGATTTCATGCTACACTGCACGCCTCTCCTTCCTCAGCCTGACTCTCTTAACCTCACTAAGTCAATGATTCCATTTAAAGTATTCAATCCTATTGTACATTTTCTAACCATTCCTATTGTTTTAGAGGGTCAAAGATGAACCTCTCTCTGCCAACTCCCCTCCTCCTCTCCGTCATCCTTTTCCTTCACTCCGTAATTCGTTCTATCCGCCAATCTGCTCTCTACGCTACGCTACGCTCTGCCATGCTGCTCTCTTCACCACCTTGCTCCTTTCGCCAACCTGTTCTCATCGCCTTGTACTCTCCGCTATCTTGTCCTCTCCGTTATTCGGCTTTCTCCACCATTCTAATTTCTTCACCACTTCTTTAATTCTCTCAAGTTTTGCCATTCATCTCTTACAAACACCACACACCCACTCACATCGCGCTTTCTCCACAATCATTCTCTCTGAACAACATCACTCCCTCAACAGCATCACGCTCCCTCAACAGCATCACGCTCCCTCAACAGCATCACGATCCCTCAACAGCATCACGATCCCTCAACAGCATCACGCTCCCTCAACAGCATCACGCTCCCTCAACAGCATCACGCTCCCTCAACAGCATCACGCTCTCTTTAACATCATAGTCTTCCTAGCATCATTCTCCCTTAAACCTCCTACCTACTCCTTATACCAACGCGGCTTCCCCTAATTCTCAAGACGAATCCCCTTACGTTCTATTTGTTTTCGAAAACCATCCAATTCCTCTCCAGCCACTTCCCGGTGCTCGCAGCTACTCTCCTTCTTCCTTTCCGCGCCGCGCGTCGTATTTTTAACCACCAGGAGCTTCTTTAAGAAATTCGCCCGAGGGAAACCAGCGCAAATATTTTACAGCTCGCATTTATCTCCGCGCGCGATGGCCCCTGCTCGCCGCGTAAGGTGCCGTTGATTTCTTCGAAATTATCAAGGGAAAAGTCTACTTGGGCGGATAACGAGCGGCGGAAAATGCGATGGGTAGTTGGCTGAAGGAAAGAGGAAAACGAAGACGATGGAAGAGAAGATGCGGGCCAAAAAAGAAAGGAGAGGATAAAAGGAAGAAGACAAAAATGTGAGTGGAATATTTCATAATAATAACAATAATAATAATAATAATAATAATAATAAGAAGAAGAAGAAGAAGAAGAAGAAGAAGAAGAAGAAGAAGAAGAAGTGGATAAAGGGAACTAAAGATATAGCGAAGCGAGTTGGTGAGATACACGATATTTGCGAAAAGGAAAACCAAAGTACTGGCAGAATGAAAGAAGAAAACAAAGGAGAAACAAAAATGAATAAGGTTAATGAAGAAAGTAAAGGAGAAAAGGAATTAAAATTAATAAAAATAAAGACGTGATGAGAAAAATGACGTGGTGGACGTACGTATGCGGATCAAACGATGAGGTGTGTAAGCAACGAGGGACAAGTGGGGAGAAAGGAAAATGTAAACAAAGATGAGTAAAGTAAAGAGCTAAAAGTAGGTTTAAAAAATAAAGTTATGAAATAAATGGAATAAAAGTATGAAAATATTGAAGAAGTGGACTTATGAGTCGGCGAGTCACACTACTCGTATGAAGAAGAGAAGGCGCTAAACCAGTGTAGGACGTGCCCGCACGGAGAATGAAACAAGAGAGATGAAAGTAAATAAGAATTATTAAAACAGAGGAAATGCGGCATAAAAATAATTAAATCCGGAAAAGGGTTCATAAGTCAAAGACCGGTGAAGAGAGTAAAGAAATGACAAAGTGTTAGTGAGTCTTCAGATAAAATTATGCCAGAGACACTGTGAGAGGAAGTGTTGGAAGAGAGGGAGAGAAATAGGACGAGAGAGAGGGGGTAGAAATAGAAAACAAAAGGTAAGAAAGGTGAGAAGAAAAAGAAATGGAATACAAAGGATGGTGAAAAGAAATGGATAAGAAAGGATGAGCTGGTAAAGGGCAACAGTTGGGATAAGCGTGATACATAGAAAATGATAGATTTTCGTGAAGTACAAGATGAAATAAAATAAAAAGAAGACTAGGATTGTTGGGAGGAGTAGAAAGCACAGGTAATGAAGATGAAGTGGACTTTCATAGAAATACAAAAGAATGTAAAAAGAGGAAAAGTTAAAAGTAAAGGGAAAATGGTGAATGAATAGAAAAGTAAAACACATCGTAAAAAAACGCAAAGGCGAAAAGGATCTAGGTTAGTTAGGGAATCAAAGGGAGAAGAAAGTGAAGAATTAAATTAAGTAGATATGAAATAATAGATTTGAGGACAATAATGGAAGAGAGCAAAATAAATGGATAGTAAGAAAGAGCAGAAGTAAGGAGAGGGACGATTAGTAGTAATAGTCGCCGAAGAAAATGCTGAAATAGGGACGAGGAAAGGATGGAAGTAATTTGAAAAAACAGATTATGCAAAAAAAAGTTGAGATGATGAGTGGTATATATGAAGCCCTATGAGTGGAAAAATAATGTGATGGCGAGGAATAAAAATTGAAATAGCAGTGAATGAATAAACAAAATAACCTATGGTTAGCACGAAAAATTTAAAAGTTGAAGTAAGGAAAGTAATGAGAAAAATATGAGCGGGGTGAAGGACAGTAAACAAGAGGTGAAGCAAATATATTATAACTAGAATACATTAAACAAGATACTTGGTAAACTATAGGCAAGATGTTGTTGAAAGACAAAAAAAAATTATCGGGACAGAGTAGTGGAAACGATGTTTTAAGTGAAATGAAGATGCAGCAAAACGTCAGGTGAGAGAAAGGAGAGAACGAGATGAAGTAGATGAAAAAGGAATGGCAAACAAGAAAAAATGATAAAAGTAAGATATGGTAATTAAAAATGGGGAGAAAATAAATACGGGAAGAAAGGGAAGAACAGTAATAAAGAAGGAAAGAAGAAAGATAACGTAAATAAAAGGAAGAGGAAAGAAACGGAAACAAAACGAAAGAGAAATAATCGGCAGGAAAGAAACGAGAGCAAGAAGTTGGGAAATGAACTGTATTAGAGGTTTCCACTTCGCAGTACGAAACTAAGTTTCTCCTCCAGACATCCTCGCGGCGGCAATGGAGTAACGATTCGCGTATCGGACTGTTATACCCAAATTCGCGAGATCAAATCCGATCGAAGGCAGAGCGAAAGGGAGAAGTAAACCCGGCTGTCCCATGTTAGTAGATTTACGGGTGCAAAATATCCTCAAGCCTAAATCTAATTGAAGCCTCTCAGCTAAACTCAAATCGCCTGTTCGTCGCCCCAAAAGTACCTCCTTTCTCCGCTAGTTGGTGAAAGGCGCGCAGCGAAATTTGCGTGATCAGACGGAAGAGTGAGTCAGACGTAAAATAAGGCAGCAAGTCAATTCGAAGTCCTCACCACCGTCCTCGCGTTACCCCTCGAGGGGATCCGAGGGGAGATAACCTACGAAGTGCTGCTGAGATGAACTGCATGAGACAGAGAGGGAGGGAGGCACTTGCTGCGGAATGAAGCCAATCTGATGGGAAACGTTGCTGGGTAGAACGAATTATTTCTCCAAGGGAGCACCTCTCCATCCGAGGATTTTGGTAACTATGGAAAACAATGCTTAACAATGAAGTGTGGACTGCCATGTTTATTGCCATTTCCCGTTTGCATTGCCTTTTCCAACTGCCATGATCATCGGTAATTGCAGAGCCTTTTTTTGTGTCGTACCCTATTTCTTAGAGACTCTTAATGGCTTTCATTTTATTTAAGTATGTAAATCACTTCACGAACGACATTGTATTGGTTGTCAGTTCTTCCAAAGAATTTTTAAAGATGCTTGTGAAGATGAACATGACCAGCAATATTGCAGTATCAACGATATACCATACCAAAACCAAATTAATGGCCAGCAGATCTGCTGAGAAAATTAACATGGATGGGACCAAGTTAGAGCAAGTAGAAGATATTTGTACTTGAGCTAACTCGTCACTCTAAACAATAAAATGAGTAATGAAATTAAGGGACAAATATCCCAAGCATGGAAAGCCTTCAGCAAATACACCAGCAAATCACTTAATTATGTAATATATTACATTAAGGTCAATAGTAGGTGATGCCCTCAGACTAAATATTGTGTTTTCTTTGTTGCATTCTTAGTTTTATCTGAACATTTGAGCATCGTCCCACTTTTACCCCTAGTACTAAAAATTGAACGTTTAGCATGCTGTGCATACCTGCAAAGATTCCGACTAACTTTACTAAGTAGTTTAAGGTAACTTTACCTTGTGGTTGCAAAAAAATATTTTTTATCATCCGATAATATATAATTAATATATAATTATAATAATTATAATATATAATATTTTTTATCCGATTTATATCCCCCAAAGTTGTTAGCCCTGGGGTATGAACGATGAGGTGATGATTATGTGAGGGGTGAAATGACGGCACACACATAAAGACAACCATGCCCGAGGCGGGACTCGAACTTGCGTTCTTCTGGTCCGACTCCGCTACGGCACTACTGCCCTAATGATCTGGCCATCTGACCGGCCTTAGAAAATAAATGTTATACACATCATTTGTTTCCTACGTTGAAAACTATTAGAAAAGATAAAACAATCATTTAGATATTGAACAGTTAAGGTCTCCAGAAAATATGACTTGTTTTTTCATCAATAATTAGGAATAATAATCCTAGCATAAATAGATAACAATAGACTGTCAATACTAAAATGAGGAACTATAAAATCATTCAGTAATATTATCTTCAACCTTAGTTTGTGGTGTGTTATGCGTAAAACTTGCTTAGATTCTGATTTTTACAGAATTCACACATTTCACAGTAACACGCAATAGGGGGCACGATTTAGAAAAAATACGAGGAAAGCATTATGAATCTCATTCATATGTATTTTTTCCCCCAAAGCTCAAAATTAACGAAGCAGATTACATTCAAAAGCGATATCACACGTTAGAGCCACTTGTGTTTGAAATGAAATTACACACGGAAACATGAGACTCGGGGTGAGGAAAGCGAACTCATCTCGAAAAAATAAACATAATGTGTGTTTGCAATATTCTCCCTCGCGTTTTGTGTCATTATGCACACCCTGCATGAGTTTTGTTGGTGGCGTGATAAAGTTGCAACACATTTGCGTATGTCATGCTCATAATACGAATATTGTTTCACTTAAAAAAGGCTGTTTTAAAAAAATGAAAGGAAGAGAATCTCAATGCAACAAAATATAAAATTCGAATTTACTGAAATAATGAGGCGTGTAATCGATGGTGAATTTAAATCGTGAGAGGGAATTAAACCAGTATATTCAGAGAAAGAGGAAAATGGAAGAACACATATTTGTACAAGAATACACAATACTTATACTTTGGGGGTTTCGTTGATTTTATATATAAAAAAGGTGTTCCAAATAACGACGTTAGTTTCATTCAATTTAGACAAAGTTCTCTAAATTAGAACAATATGATGAAAACCGTATAACAGGGACAATATAATCACAGAAATAGAATTTCAATTATAATTGATAACGTAGCAATACTTCAGTATATGTGAAAACATTTTCAACGTGAGAGTAGATACATATTTTACATAATTGTACTATCAGCCTTTTCAATGGAAAGGTTTATCTGCGTTATCAGCTTTTGACATTCAATACTGCTCTATCATTAGTATTGCGGTATCAAATTCGTCTTAAATGGACACAATGTAATCAAATCATTAAAATGAAAACATACTGGAATACTCAAAATTTAATTTGTCTTGTGTTATTGTGCTGGTACACTGAAAATTGCAAACGACGGGTTTAAAAAAATATTATTCACATATTAGATCATATTAGATTCATAGTCTATTTAGGGTAGGTAGATAGGTTTTGTGCTACCTAAAGTTGTTGCAACCTTCAAACAATTACACTATATGTAACGCTTATGAGGTGACATTTGTAAAAAATATTGTTAGCAAAAGTAATGTTTTTTTCTTACACTCCGTCAATTTTTAGGTCATTCATTTTGATTGTGCTGTAGTAGTGGATCCTAGTTTGCTGTTGTTAGCGATTTGCATTTGAAGATTATAATTTTTTTTATTGCACAGCTTAATTTATTCGTTTATTTAATTTAATAATTTAGCACTAAGATTTTTTTGTTTTTATTGATTGTTTCTCATTTTTGGTTTTCATTGGTTATTATAGTGAAGCTAGTGGAAATAGTTTTAGTAAAACAAGTTAGTTATTTCAATAGAGGATTTTTTGTCGAAAAATTAATTAAATTATTTTTTTATTGATTTTTCTGTTTCCATTTTATTAGCACTTGAAAACTAATGGATACCCTAGATGCACATAAGCTTATTCTTAACATTCCTTAACTTAAGGTAATGAGATTTCAAAATTGCATTTGAAAGATAATTATAAATTTATTTGCTAATTGTTGACATAAAACACTGAAAGAAACGGTCCACGTCATCTGTACATATTTGATTGTAGGAAAGGCAAAATAATTGCAAGTAAGATTATTTTTTTATTTTGAAAGGTCATCTTTTAAACGGCAAATTAAACTTTACTACTTGTAGTACATGAAACTGATATGTAAAATAATTTTTTATGGTTAATATAACGATGATTACTTAATGACTTCAATTATTAATTATCATGATTAGTAATATTAATATTAATAAACGCATTTTATTTTTTCAAGTTATCATAGGTTTACAAGTAGGCCTGAACGGTGTCGAATCCGTTATCAATCAACAAAAAACAAATTGTTCTGACCACAAACAAAAAGACATGCGAAGTGTTTAATGGTTGTTAAAAATTTTGAATCACGTTATTAGTTGAAATTTCGTTGAAAATTTTTTGAGTTTTCAAAATTATCTAAAACAATTTCTCCAAATTTATCCTCGGATAGGGGTAAACTTGAAGTAAATTATTTGAAATTAATGCAATTTTAAAGCATAATTTTCTTAGAAACCGCTCCAAAGTTCTCTCTCGGATAAAACAAGGGGCGATTGAAAGAAATGCATAGGTCTCATTTTCGTTGATTTTTGATTTTTTAAAAATCGTTTGATGATTGATTTTCGAAAATCAGACATTAGGAATAGGCGAAACAATAAGATAATTAAGCGTTGACCCAATGTACAGCAAAATGTCTACCCTGTGCGGTGTAAAGGCGAGTCACGCCACGGAACACACGTGCTGGTTAAAAAAAAAACTTTTGCAGTTTCGTGTAGGAGTAATATATTTTTGAGTAATTTCAAATAATGCGAGAAATAATGTGCTGTTGTTTCACTACTATTTACTCTCAACCTTTTTGTACACTTGGAGAATAATATTTTAATGATATGGCTTTCACGTCATCTTCTTCTACATAAACAACATTGGAGTGCCTGTCTGAGATTTTAAACGCCTTTTTTAATCGCACATTCGTAAGTAAGTGTTGATAAAAACACCTTAAATGTTTTATGTTATTGATGTGCCTGGGATTATCTCCGGAAGCGCTCAATAGATTTCGATGTATTTTTAAGGAAAGCAGTTTCACACAATTTCCTAAGGTTTATTCAGCGGTTAAAGAAATGTTGTATACATATCATTCAAAAAAAGAGAAAAATTACAGTCTATATGAGATTTTGATAAAGACCTATTCCCCTTTCCTATCCCTTAGGCAAGAATATGTTTGCACGTTTTGCCTTTTTCGAAAATATTTCAAAAATAAATGTTACTGAAGGTAAGCCGTGATATTGCTACTATCCAGTGTTTCATTGTTTTTGTATTCTTCCTTAGTTTCAGGGTATACAACAAAACTAAAGTATCTTCCTAAAAGAACTGGGGCTCCATAGACTACTTTCGATTCCGGTGCGCATTGGAAATCAGCTATCATGTTAATGTTTTCAGATTTTTTCGAAATCCTTCGTATAAAACAAAATCATGGACTCCTCTTACATATGCTCTATAGTTTTCTCTTAATTCTTGTGGCATTGTAAATTAGTAATATAGATGTCAGCGAATGTTGTTGAATATTATTAAGGTAAATTCAGCTTCACTAAGAACTTAATTGCCCTTGAATGCAACAATGCAAAAAAAGGTTTCATAATTTTTAAAACACTCACACACACATTATATATATATATATATATATATATATATATATATGTGTGTGTGTGTGTGTGTGTGTGTGTGTGTGTGTGTAAAATAGTTATACGAGTTTACCTGTAGTATATTGTAGGTAATTTTTTTATAATTTAATAAAGCTTATGTAAACTTATATGATGTAACCAAGTTCAGAAAGCAAGTTATCAACATGAAATCTTATCTTCTATTTTAACTATTTATCTTGAAAATGCAATTCTCCTTTGCACACTTCCATCTTTGAGAGAATGTGATTAGTTTCAGTTTACTTACGGAATTTTGTTTTCCGTGCGAGAAGCTAAGAGTTTGCCGAAGCCGAACCTCATTCAGAATATAAACACTTAAAATGAAATGAAAGGAAGATGAAAACAAACGGACATCCAAAGGAAGTGGTTAGATAGCCAGCACTAAAAACAACGGTACCTAGCAGTTTTGAGGGAACAAAATTTCTGGCCCGTAACAAGGGAAAGATTCTCTGTTAAAATATGCAGCAATGGGTATGCTAAAAAGGAACATTCCATTAAACTGGGCACGTTAATGGAGACTGGTCTTTCACTGTATCTTGTTGACAGAATCCTCAGATACGATCCTCTGCTTACGCCATGACATCATTATAAAATAATTAGTGGATAAATAAACAATCACCTAATCCCCAAATTGGTTAATATTGGTGAGAAGGCTAGAGATAAACTGTCTGATTGTGAGGAAAGGTAGTACAGTGAGCTCAAAAATAGTGCTGAGGTGACACAAGTAGCCCGCACGTTAACTTCTCGATTAAACTAACGCCCCTGAGCGTACTTCCATTTTAATTGTCATCTGCTCTACCAAAACTTATCGCCTATTTCTGGTGAAAT